CTTGTTTGTTCTGCCTTTCTGCTAGCTATTCTTGAAATACTGTTGCCCTGGATACCTGGGTGTGGGGCTTTAAAAATTAACTTAGCTGAGAACTATAGAAACTATTTTAATTCAGCTGAGAACTATAGGGACTATATTAATTTCAATCTTTTCAATATCAAGCTTTCAAAATTCTGTTATTTAAGATGTAGATGGCCCACTGTGTCTTAATCAGGGAGCTCCACCAAAACCTGTCAACCACCGGGTAACCCTTATGATATTTGACACACCAGTGCCACAGAAGTATCTCAGCAACCCCAAGTTATCTAAGTACAGCAAACTAATAGACAAGTGTTGTACTACTTGTACTTAGAACAATGTTCTCTCCAAACACAATTTACACTGGGCCCTTGAGCCACAGGCCTTCAGAGACAACCAACTTGGTTAGCAAAATAAAAAAAAAGGCCCAAACAGCTTAGACACAGCTTTCTGGTAAATAAAAAACACCCTCCAGAATCCAATGGCTCCAAGGTGGAGACTCCCCTCAGGCAGGACCCAACCGACTTTTAAATACAAAGCCTGGCCCACCACATTCTGATTGCTGAAACAAGAGACTGCCAGACCACAGCTGATTGTTAATGATCTCAGAAACAGCCAATCATCTTACACTTGATGGTTAACAAAATAAAAAGAAAAAAATTTAAAAAGCAGCATCCAGACTCCTAAACTCAAGAGATTTTGGCCAAAGCATAAGAAACTGGCACTAGCTTGAGGCGTTTTGAGTCACAGAAGCCCAGAAAGCTTGAGATATAAACTGTCATATCAAGGGTTGGCTCTTGAGAAATAGGTGTGGAATAGAGTAGGTGGGAGTAGAAGGGAATGCTGATGGAACAGGGAAATCGGTAGATCAAGACACACATGTCAAAGGTGGGGACAGAACTGAATCTATTGGTTATTTCTACATTTGGGGAACTATCTTTGATCTGCTCTTTTCTGTAAAATTCTTGTCTATCAGATATCTTTCTAAATCTGAGCATTCAAACTAAGACAGACTAAGGGGACAAACATTCTCACCACTGGACCAACTGGCAGCATCAGGATGGATGGTGAAAAGATTGAGATTATTAACAGCTTTAGTTTGCTTGACTCCGTAGTCAACATTCTTGGCACCAGAAGCCAGAAAATTAAAAGA